GTGTGCTTGGGGTTGCGGGACGGCAGGTGAGCCCACATCTTCCGCGCCCCTCCTTTGGGTGCAATGGCCAGCACCGAACCTCGAGGACCGGGATGATCTCCGGCATCTCCCCCTCCGTTCCCTCCCCAGCATCGCGGTCTACGGCAGCGTGGACACGGGGACGCAGTGCTTGCTGACCTGCAAAAGCCCCGGCATGCAACCCGTCCTCTGCCTGAAGCACAGCCCCGAGTACCTGTTTGCGGGGTTGCAGGATGGGACCGTGGCCGCCTACCCCAGGAGCAACGTTGAGGGCACCCCCTGCGTGCTTTCGGATGAGCTTTTGGGTGGGACACCCTAAAAAACAGGGAGCAGGAGGCTCTTCGCGCCAGTGAGATGTGCTGGCTGCTAAAATGGCGATAAATCTCCATTTTTCTCTCCCCCTCCCCATTTCATTCTTCCCTTTGCAGCCCAGGGGGGAGAAAAAAAAAAAACCAAACTATTTTGCATTGCCAGGATGATTGCAAGAGGGGGCTCGGTTTGGGGGGAAACGTGGAAAATGGTCCCGGCAAGGGGTTGATAGCCCAGCAAAAGGTTTTGCTCGGAGGGTGGTTGCGCTCTGGAGCTGTGGGAAGGGTCCGATGTCGGGAAGCACAAGGAATCCTTAGAGCTTTGGGCTTCAAAAAAAAAAAAAAAAAACAAAAAAAGGGGAGGGGGAGCTGAAACCAAACTGTTAAAAAAAGTCACCTTTTTGGTGCTAGAAACCGAGCTGACCCCCTCCAAACCTCATCCATGCAAAAGCCCTCTCCTTTTTAAACCTGATTTGGGGTTTTATTGCCCCTGGTTCCAGCTCAGCCCAAGGCTGCAGCTCGCTCAAAGCCTTCCTCCCAGGGACTCCTCGCCTGGGCTGTTAAATTCCTTTGCTTCATCGCTAGAGGGTAGGAAAGAGCCTCAAATAATGCGCTGCGCTGGCCTAATTTTGGGCAAACCCCCTTATTTGCTCTGAGAGAACCTGCGGCGAGCAGCACCCAGGCCAGCCCGGAGCCAGTAAAGCCACTTAAATTGCATTTTTGGGGTGCTGCACATCCCCTTTCCCACCTTACGGCAACCGTGCAAGCCAATTAATGAAGTGGCTTTGATTTAAACTCAATTGCATACATGCACGTTGAAGGCAGTAAGCTGCTGGCAGGGCAGCAGGGTGAGGTTTTTAATCTTATCCCCGTCTTTTTGGAAGGAAAAAGCTTTCCTGAAATAGCTCGTTTTTAGGGGAAAATTAGGATTTGCTGAAAGGCGGCTTGGTTGCGAACTCCTGCTGATGGGAGCAGAGGTCCGAGCGCCCAAAGGGCTCTTTTATCCCTTGGATCCTGTGGTTTGATTTTAAAAAAAATTGCACTGGAAATTTGAAAAAGGAGAGCGA